GCCAAGCGGCGACGAATACGGATAAAAATCGAATTTGTAAATATGAAGCGACAGTGGGATCGTAATAAATGCATACAACGAGAAAGATTCACCTTAAAAAAAGTCTTTGTCCAAATAAATGTGCTTGAAAACAAAGCGCTTCATCAAGAAAATGGCAGCTGTTTTATGTACCTTGGATTGACAACATGTGCTGTTCACGTGATTTTTCAGACTATATAAAAGCGGTTATCATGAGCGATGTAGTTTTCACATGTACTTTGACCGTTTGGTTGTCAACTCATGATCATCACACGGTAATACAATTTTGAATACTTTTTTATCAGGACTTAGTAGGAAATATTAAAATAATATCTTACAAGATCGAATTTCCTTTCTCAACGAGAAACATGTCGAGTGTAGGATAAAGAAGAAAGCCTTTAAATACGAACTTCCGATTCAAATACGTTCAGATTTTATTCCATAACACAGTTGCTCCCTTCATTAGTTTGGAAGTCTTAGTTTGCGACGGAACTTGGTTATACCGATCACTGGCGAAGGTGGCAAAGGTGGTTCAATGGTTCATTTAGGCGAGCTATGCCAGAGCTAAGCAATGCCAGAGCTATGGCAGAGGATAAATTGTCTCTTTAATGACCAATGCCGGAAATCGCTGGTAAAGAAAGCAGTCCCACTAAAACCACACATGAGCGTAGCGCTCTGCTACCAACACGAAAGCGTCGAGCCGATATTTTTCGCTTCACACGCTCAACATATCACTTTAAAAATATCACATTTCGTGCTAATTTTTTTCGTTTTAGACCTGAGACACAATCATAAAAAGGCATACCTCGACAGCTCATATATGGACGACTTTGGAGATATGAGGAGAGTCGACAGATCGGACACATATGATGCAAGTTTGCCTCGTGACTACCTAAGTTACGATCTTATTCAAGATAATTTATGCGGGCCGATCGACAAAAACTCAGGGTACTTACCTTGCTTTATTCACGAGTGTAAAACTTCCGCACTTAATATCGGACCGATCAAATGCCTACTAGACCAAATAACTCCCTGGAGAGTCGACCCAAAGAAGCAAGAGGAAAATATGTTCGAATATTGAGGGTTGACAAGCCCAGTTGATTATGCTAATTATCATTAAAATTTTTATCATTGTGGACTTCCATAAAGCCCATTTCACGAAATATTTTTGTCCAGAGTAATCCTATCACAAAGACACCAACACATCTCCCCTTAAACACTTGGAAATAGAAGAAAAAAAGTAATAGGTAATACCCTAATGAAAAAAATTGAAAAATGTTTCTGGCAGGGCTCGAACCTGCGACCTTCCGCGTGTTAGGCGGACGTGATAACCACTACACTACAGAAACCTCCGATGTCCAACTCTAAAAAATTATTGAATAGAATAGTGTGAATATATTGACTCAGTTGCCGTGGTGGACTCTACATGCTTCTTACTTAAAAAACAAAATACCCACAAAAAAGAATCAAAATATACAATAATAATGATACTGTTTGATTACAAGTTATTTTTAGGTATGTGAGGAGCTTTTCAGTAAAGAATATTTATGCCGGCAAAAAAAAACGGAATTACTTGTTTTACACCAGGTACAATTCCATTCTCAATCCTGAAAGAAAAATACTTATCATAAAGGTAGGCTTGGCAGCCACAGCGAAATGATATTATAAACTTTATTGCCAATGGCTTTTTCGACTTTCTTTTTTTTTAGAATTAAACCTGGTCGTTTTAACCCGACGGATCTGTCACACAACTATGTTGAGTTTAGGTGTTGCGTGACGCAAAACCGTTAGTGACAAAAAGTGTCGGAATAAAAGAGACTTATCAAGTAAAGGACTTGCTCCTCTCTCTTCCCCGCGAAAAAATTTCTTTTTCTTCTCACATTTTAGTCGGCAGAGGCCACCTGCAGTTAAGGGAATTCTGTTTTTTGAGCAACTCAGTAGCAGGCTGTCGTCAGTTAACAATTTCGCGAAAAATGTTGTTATTTTAAAAGATTTCCTCTCTTTCGTCACTAATATCACCTCAAAATAAACTTCCACTGAGGAATTTACCTTGAATGTATCATACTGACGCCGTTAATTTGATTCCTCTGAACCATAGTTTTTGTATTCCTCTGAGGACATTTTGATTGTTTTCTGTAACGCCGAGTAAAACTTCCTTCGTTTCTGTGTTTCCAGTATCAGAAACTGGAGTTATACGTTTCCGGCAGACCAGCTTTTGACGCAAGTTGTTCCTTCAAAGTTGTTGACCCTTCAAACTAAGCAGCACAGCAATAAGAGTGCCTTCTTGGCTTTCCCGTGATGCTATTTTGATCCTTCGTTGTGGGCATTTCCATCTGTGCAAACAAGAAAAGCGCGAGAATACACAAGGTGACACAAAACCGCTTCTGTTCAGCGTAAATGAAACAAATATTACCTCTCAAGATTCCTGGACTATTTAGCGAAACGGGATAGGAAATTTAGACGATACAATTACCCAACATACAACATAAAAGTGAAGAGAAAGGTTGCAGAAACACGCCTTGCACTCGGCCAAGAACTTCCATACAGTTTAATGATGCATTGCGCTACGCTCTCTTGCAGTCCCTCACGGCCTATAAGCTACCACAATTGGCAGAGATGTTGCAAGCTTCTTAAACAAAGCTGTTTTATTAATCTGATGTAATTTTCCATAATTTGTGCGCTCCATGAGTCTACAACAGTTTGACCACTGTGATGACGAATATCATTACTGATAAGGGTACAGATCATACTAAAACCACTGTCGATTTGTTAAGTCTAACAAGATGAATTAGGACTGTGAGATTTTGTAAATATTATAAATGGTGTACTGAAATTAATGTAATTGACATTTCAATTCAATGGGAACATAGCTTGTTATGTAACCGGCAGCATGTATGTGCATTATCAATGCTGGTAGCGTGGAGGATGGTTTTGGAAGAATTCTTTATTTAATTTGCAAGTGAAAGTTATTGTGCTAATAAAAGGTGGAATATAAATATAACAAGTTATCAAATATTTAGAAAAAAGATGTAGTATATATATCTGTACAGTTGCATTAACAGTTGCAGGAACATCATAGCGCGTTGTCTGCATAGCTTGCGGTTTTGGGTGCGACATGGAAACTCTTAAACCGCACACAAAATTTCCGACTCCTTGGGCTAAATCGTGTGGGTTTCTTTATTTAGAATTTCCTAATGGCTTTGAAGAAGTGAAGATGGCTAAAAATAATTTTGCTATCTTTGAACACAGTTCTCTGACGCATTGCAGTAGCTTTACAACTTAGTCATTTGTTTCCTTCAAAATGGTATCGGTAAAAAAAAACAAAATTATCTCCAAATTAAAAGTGTCAATTCCGGTTGCTCTCAGTCGAATGTAAGGATGTTTATAAAACTTCGCAGAAATATGAATCTTGATATACGTGCTTATGGATATATAAACTCGATACAAACAAACCTATTAAGCGGTCACCCACAGAACAGTTCCACAGATTAAGGGTGTTATAAAAAGACGATATAAAATTAAGTTTTATGCCATAATTGACCTCATAATGTACAGAATCTCGCTCAAAATACTACTTCTTTTGATTTTGGAAGAGAAAGATAGAATTTTCACGAAAGATTGATTATTCTTAGTTTTATTTCGGCGGTTTGGCTTTAAGTGACAATATAAACAGGCCGTTGGGACTTAGTAAAGGATAACCGCGACCGCTTAATAGACTTGATAGAGGTGAAAATTACAGTGATTAGGGAGTTAAAGTCCACGACGTCAAAGGGAACGGAAACGTCACTGAACAAAAGATTTAATGAGCAGAAAAATGGCTGTGCAAGAGCATTATAAATCTTTGTAAATTTTTGTGCTTCCTCTGCCAAACAACAACGTGAAATTACCAAACTTTGCCTTGTCCTTGAACGACGACATCTAATTTTATAATTTCTATTTCTCAGTTAACGCTGTGTTCCATATTCATTTCGAGATAGTTTTTACAGTGAGAAACACACTAAATGACTTTGGGGTATCGCGAGATTCGTAGGTAAAATATAAGCTCATTTTTTTAACCAATGTTGTCGACCAACGGCGTCGCAGTGATCGTTTCTTTACTCTCTAAGGAGGGGAAATAAATACTGGGTCACCGCTGAATACGGTGCCGCCTATACAGGTTCGAGTTGTTCTAGTATCCTGTGGTGTTACTCTGGTAGCTAAATATACCAGAGAATTGACTACACCATGGTTAGAAATAATAAGCCTGATTAGCTTATATGTTTCGTTTACCCATTTCAGGCCGCTTTTGTAAATGATGCGTACATATGCAAATGAATAAAAGGAAATTTCAAAGAAGAACTTTGAAAGAAACAGTTCTCTACAGAGTTTTACCACATGACATGAAATGGGCAAGCAAAACTGAAAGGCTAACAAGGGCTACTGAGCAGTTTTTGGCACTATTTTTAAGGGCACAAACAAAAAGAGTGAGAGTGTCAACCGTGAAGGCAGTTGTATTAGAAAGGAGTAAACAATTTTTGGCCTATATTTAGCAAGCCATAACTAGCAACGTCATCGCCCGCAGGCAAGTAATTACGGGCTATTACGAATCAACTGTTTGAATGCGTTGTTTTTTTGTCGCAATAAATTCTTTGACAGCCGCCGTCCACTCGGTCAAATGAAATTATGCGTGCTCGGAATGATTGATGGTGATCTGGCTAATTCGATATAAACGGATCCAAGTACAGATTGACTCAATATTTGTTGAACAACGTTAGGACTCGGAAGGAAAATACGCTGAGCTGACGCTGTGGCGTTTGATTGGTCTGTCACGTCATTTGAACCACTGGCGGTCTTACCAATCAGGATCTCTCACGACGCTTCATGTGCGTCAATCATAGCATCTCAGCGATTGCGGTTTTATGCCGTTCATCGCTTAAGTGATACCTACCATACCTCTTGCCTATGATTGGTCAAATCACACACAAATTAGAAAAGATTTGTCGTAAAACTTACTACACGGCGCCGCATCAAAAAAGATTTTATTTATTGTTATCTGTGTCAGAAGTGCAGCGCAGTGATCAAGTTATCCTGTGAAATAGTGCAGAGCAGACACTGAGGTGTATCTGTGTTAAAGTTCGAAGTTGACCAGGTAAGTTTTTTCGATTTGCGTTAACTCTATTACATACCGAATGTAAGAGACGCGTTACTCGTGCCTCACGCTGATCAACTGCCGCATTCCTGACTATTGATTCTACTCTCACAATCGCCGAACATTTGGCGAGATCTGGCATGAAAGCTGCGGACTCCTTAGAGCACCTGTTGTGTCTTGTTTGAAAAGCAACTTTGCATCTAGACTGAGAAAACTTGATATAATGATAATACCAGCAGTCCCACAACTTCATTCATCGTTTCGCCTTCAGTGAAGCGAAGTGATCAAATTCGATGCTTGATTGCGTCAGTCACTTTTATAATTCAACTGAGAAGCTCATCTGCTATCGCAAGCCTTGAAGGACACTCCCTAAGAAGGAAATGATCAGTTCTGAGTAAGAATTTACTAATTAAAAAATTATACACAGTCGACTATTCATTCGTTGTAATAGTGTAATTGCTAAATAAAGAGAAAAACCAACCGGAAAAACAACTAAAAAATTTATTCATAAAGTTTTCAGTGTTGAGTCAGTCAGCTTGAATTCATCACGGAGTCGAAAGGATTCAATGTTAGTTTCGCAAGCGGCATTTATACGGAAAGATTGTTAATTTTTCTCATCAATGGTAAATTAAAATTTCAAATCTGAGACAGTGACATCAAACTGTCTGTGTGTTTGTCATTTACACTGCAATAGAGGAGATGTCGTATTCTTTATTGTTAGTAAGAAGTACTGGCGCTATTGAGACTCAGTCAAGCTTCACGACAGTATTGACTTCCTGTTCCAAGCTGAAGCGAGGTCAGTGTCACATAGGAAGTTTTTACAAAGGTTCTACTAAGTTTGCACCTCAGGCAAAGAAAACCTTAAAAAAGTTTTTTTCTCATGGCGAAAAACTGTCAAGCTCAATAAACAGCGCGTATTGACTACGGACTCGTCAAGGGGTTTGAAGGCAGTTATCTCGCGCGTGCATGCTAACTATTCAAGGAATGATATAGCCCTTGGGGTTCTCCACAGATCTGTGATAAACAGACGTGACGAAAGGCATTTTGTTCATTTATTCAAAGAAGAAAGACCAAACAAAACATAATGGGTCACGTTAATTAAAATAACAACAAGGTTTTTGTGTCACGTATTTCTAAATAAACCGACAAACAGTCTTAAGTTGCTCACATGAAAACCTTCTTAAATTCGATTTTAATGTTTCCTACAATTTTCAAAATTAAAGTAAGATTTTAAAGTTGGCAAGCAACGTCCTAGAAATCTTCAATGATTCGGACAGAACATTCCGGTTCTATCTAGGAGTTTGCGCAAATGAATAAATTTAATTCAACTTACTGTCTCAGCAATGTCTACATACCTAGCAGTCAGAAATCTTAACAGAATTCCCAATGAAAGGTTCTATAACACTTTGTAAAGGATCAGAGGGTTTAGAAATGTCAAACGACTACGAGAACTATTTTGATTTTCAAGTGTTTAGTTGAAAAATTTTCCAAGCTTGTGCACACCTAGAGTCGCTTGGGTTGTAGACACAAAAACATTTTAGGCTAAGCTGCAGAATACCCTGCCACTCATTTACAAGTCATTGAATGAGAAGAACGTTAATTGTGTTATGCCTCGATCTTCAAAGCCTTCCGACACGTGTAAATGAGGTGGACCAAAGTGACAGGGTATTCTGCAGTTGCTCCCAAAATTGCTCGGCATTTCTAAACAAGCATCGAAGAATTTTTAGTTGGTTTGAATGAGGTTTTCTGTGACAACTGGGCATTTAGTCTATTTTCTGACCGTGCCTGGCATTCCGATCAGAATGATTTTCTATTAAAGTGTTGTGGTATCGCTTGATACTCTTAAGAAGTTTGAGAGAACCTTTCAATGGAAATTATATGAAAATTTTTGACTTCCGGGCATTCATTCCTGCCCATGTGCAGTGCAGTAAACAACAACCTATTGTATTTGGTTTGTTATTTTATTGTAGAGGTGGCGCCAAACATGATTCACGTCAATGGACATCCGTCTTTTCCGCAAAATTGTTGGGGCCATAGAACTTTTCACTCTGCTCATTGTAATAATTCTCATTCCACGGTGAAGTTTACAACTTCCAACGGAGTCTACTCTGCTGCACAGAAGATTCCAGGTGAGTAGATAATTTAAAATATTCGTGATCAACCTATTTATGCAGTTTTGAATATTTCTAAATGTGTTTAGGGTCACATGTATTTAGGGAATAAATCTGTGATTACTGCATTGGTGCGCAGTAATTTTGATCGTGATTACTTCTTCTCCAAAATTTTCACAGCCTCTCGTTCCTCTTATCAAGCGCCAGCAAAAATCTTAAGCTTAGGTCGAGGAAGTGGAAAGAATTTAAGAGGGAGAAACAAAGACGCGCGCATTCACGCGCTTCGGAACAACGCTGTCGCCTTCCCTTACTTGCACAAACACTGCACACTCACACACCCCTCCCCTGTCTCTTGCATTGTACTCTTATGCTCTGACTTGTTCCTCAGTCGCCTCAAAATGTGCACAGCGGTTAAATATATGCACAGCGGTAAAGTACATCGTGACTAACAAATCGGACTCCCGCTTCGCGGTCGTCCGATTTTGTTTATCACTCGTATGATTACAGACCGAATTGGACTCCACTCGGTTCTAATACCATTATCAATCAGTAGAGAGTGGTTAGCAGTGTAATCCGATCGACATTTCAAGGTATGAAATTACCTCAAATGACTCTTTCAAATGTCAGTTGGGACTGAAAGGTGCTTTGATCACAATGTAAGCATATATTTCTATTTGTATATTTTAAAGGCTTTCTTTACTCTACTAGAGGGAGTATAGATGGTGTCAAGAGGTTTCACATGCTTAATTGATTCTTTTTCTTTCGCACACAAACTAACTGCTCTGTTCGTCAGTATTTTCAAAAGGTTCCTCGCTAACAGCTACTCTGCAGGAGTGGATCCATGAATTTTTGTTAAGAGGGGGAGAACTTATATTGTGTAGCAACATGCGATCCTGTCGTTGCAAGAATGTTGGTGTCGAACAATTAATTAGTGGGGCGTCCGATCCCCCCCCCCTCTCCCCCTGCGACCTTGCCAAAGAATAACGTAAGGACAAAATCAAAATCTGGACATGCTTTTCTCTTTGTTTTCCTCCAGCTTTCTCTTGTTCTTCGATACTGAACGCGGCAAGCTGCAAAACTACATCTGATGACTTTTTCCGCAAAAACCGCGATGGCTTTGGACTATTCTTGACCAGAGAGGAAAAAGCATTTATGAATAGCCAATTCTGCTGCGTTTCATCTTCAACTGAAAATGGAATCGCCTTAAAGCCAAACCATTCCACAGCTGTGACGTACCATCACTTGGGCCAAGACTGTGGCATTGCAGACTCCTGTTATGGCAGCACAAGGCGTGGCCTAATGTCTTCCCGCAACGAACATCTTCCATTGACAACCAACTGCAATCACGAAATTACGAACCTCTGCATGAAGGTGTGTCAACATTCAACAAAAACGACGTTTAATAAAGTCACCAATCAACACAAAGAAACGGGCAAGAGCTGTACAGCAAAAGATGGTTCGATCGAGGGATGTGCCTCACCTGTTAGACAAACGGATGGTATCCTCACCATATCTCAGGCCTGTCCTGATGTAATGGAAGGTAGTGTCTTTCACAGCTCACAAGAGCAGAAGCCCAGCATACCAGGAGTGATAAATCAGGAGCATTGTCCTTCTTCATGCCCTTCGCAAAAGCCAACACCAAGTCTTATTTCAACATGCAACGAAGAAGAGAAAAGACACAGAATTTGCTCCGTCAACCTTTGTTATTCATCAGCTGATGGAATTCAAGGAAAACCAGGAAATGGCATGGGACGCGCTGATTTTCTCTCATTTAAACGAAATGCTACAACTGCTGCAGATCGTGATAATTATCCCGAACAACAACGCAAGAGACATTGTTCGGGTGACGATGTGCTCGGAATTATCAATGATCAGGTATCTAGCGAGGTTTCTAATCCGAAAGATGCTTGCAAGACGCCTCTAAGTCAACCTCACCCTGACAAACGTTTGTATGGTAAGGACACAAGCCCTAAGGTAAAGAGATTCGGCGAACTTAGCCGATTGCCTGAGATGACACCGTCACCTAGTCAAGTCAAGGCCATCACTTCCCAAACGTTAACTTCCGCCAACAACACTTTTGGCACTTTCACGTCCAGTGTTCACGTCAACCAGTCATACGAAATAAAAAAATCGCTTGAAATTGGAAATTCGCCAAATAGAATCAGCGCCAACATAACCTCTTCTGGTGCCCTCACTTCTGATATCGCCATTACTTCCACCAACAGCAAAGCTAGGAGTAACAAGATAACACCAACGAATCAACCAATCATAATTGACCTAACCGATGAAACCGAAAACAAGCGAACCAATTCAGAAGTATGTCGATCAGGTGACCAAGATCCAAATGATGCAAGACTTTTCGAGCGTCGAAAAGACATCCATGAAATTATTAACACAGCGAAACCAATCCAGCGTGATTTGTTGGAAAGTGACAAAGCACCTTTAAAAAGTGGCGTTGCTTTCGATCATGACTCTATGCCAAGATTAATCGGGGTACTTCCGTCGGCTACTGCAAATGTCCTATCGAGTTTAGCACATTGATTCGCAAATGGGAGAACTTTCTAGCTCAGTTCTTGGCTTTTACAACTTGCGAGACGAGTTCAAACTGCATGGGTAAAATTTATAGAAAATGTCCTCTTTAAACAACTGCGCACCCCTTTGTGTCTTTTCGTTGTGTGACACATGTCCTGGTCACGGGCAAACACTAAAACGAACGTCCCGGCTGAATTAATTCAGATGGTTCCCAACTGACCAGAGCAACATAGCAACAGAGTTGGATTTTTCATAGCAAAACGCTCCAACTCGTTTATCTCTCAGTGAAGTAATTAGTGGCTAAAAATATAACTCGTATCATTTAAATTGCAGTTTACCCTTAGTCCCCACCCGCCCGCCCCCCCCTTTCCTTTTCAGCGTGAAGATTTAGCGAGCCTCAGTAAATGAAATTGAAAGATCAGACAAGCAGGTGATATGTACATATATAGCTGAATGAGGTAATTTTTTTTTTCGGATGATGAAACGTACTTTGTCCAGTAGTAAATTTGCTGTCTCCTTATTTTTCCTTAAAAGTTTTCGTCTAGTGGCCTGGTCAGTTACAATTTTCAATCAACCCGACCGCAGTCTGGCCAAGTCTTTCAGCGAAAAAGAGGCAATATGAACCATAAAAACAGAAGTAATTAGGGCTACAGTTTCAAAACGGAATTGTAACTATCGATACTTAGTCACGAGTCTGATATTTCAGTTTCTTACGAAAATCAGTTCGATTTCCTTTTCTCACCCAGCTTACTGCTAGAAGTATAGTATTACGCCACAACTCGGTTTTTTAATTAAATGAACATAGTTACTTTCCATGACTATAATCAGCTAAACTACTGTAACCGTTATCGGTGCGAAAACTGTGTCGTTTGAAAATGAAAATTTTGTCAACTGTGGATAAATATGAAAGAGAGATCTTACAGGATCGATGTTCTCCGTCTCTCTCGAATTCTCATCATTTATCCACTTCAGTTTCGTTCGGTTCAATTGTTCACGAGGCACGTGTCAAAAGCAGCGCTTAATTTTAGAAAGAAAACGGTGTCTTATTTCAGTTTCATGTTCGTTATGGTAATATGTTTTCAGTAATAATTTGTAAATACATGGCTTCCCGCGACTTCAGATAGAAGGTATGTTTTCAGTCGACGTTCGCCTTGTGGCTGTTGAGGTCACAATCTGACCCAATCTTCGTGACGAGGAAGCGAGTGATTCAGTCACTTGAAATTTATTCAACAATTGGGTAAGTAATCTCGTCAAATTAAATTATGCGAGTGTAGACTTGGATACGGGAGGTTTGGGGAGATTTTCGTATCTTTAAAATGAATCCTATTGAATCTTGTTCTAGATTTCCATCCCCAAAGTCCTCGTCGTATTTTCATTTCTACTTCACCGCTTATAGTAATTTTTTTAATTGAATAAAATTTTTTTTGGTCCCCTTCGCGTTGAAGATATATATATATATATATCAGGAAATAATGTGGCTTCAAACTGAACTACATAAATTTTGAGATGATGAAGTCAACTGGAAGTTTAGACTTCTTTTCTTTAGCGCTTGCTACAGAACTTCTGTTCGTAGCGTTTAGTTTAAAATGCGACGACGAGGGATTTCCGGTTGATTGGTTGTCATCAAAGAGCAACAGAAATAGATTCATTCATTCTCTTTCCGGGAAGCGTTCGCGTCACAAATTTTTCCTATTTAGAGTTATACTTAGTTTCCTAGTACATAGCACCGCGCACAACGGCGACTCAAACATATATTTGAATGATATTCCTCATTCCAATTTTAAACTAAAAAGTACATTTAATGCATTCAGCGTCCGAAGTTAAAATCTCATCTTTATGGTGTTATTGAATTTACCTAATTAGCGTGATCAGCCTGAATTTTAATATAACGTTGTATAAAAGATCGGTTTTACTTTAAAAAATGCTATAGCGTTAAATGGACACCTAAATAAAAAAGAATCGATGAAAGATGAACAGCGGGAAAGAACTAGACAAAGTATAAGATACGTGCTTGAATAACATGTAATGCAAGATTTTAGCCAGAGGGCTTCAGCGAAGACGACGACGACGACGAATCGACTACTTCCTACATCGGATCACGTCTCAACTAGTGTATATATATATATATACCGTTAGAAATAATTCAAAAGGAGGAGAGGATGGTGAAGATTAATTCCCCCACCCGGGGGGGGGGGGGGAATTAACCTTCACCAAAAAATATTATTATATTACCATTGACCTTCCCCAAAAAATAATCAGAATACAAAACAAATTCGTGGATCGAACTTCAAGACTGTTTCAACAGAAAAAACAATCACATCGAAAATTTATGCATTCAACATGTTTAAATGCATCCAGCCTGAGAACAACCAATTCTTTCCCCTCCCCAACGTTACTTCCCCCCTCCCCAACGCTACTTCCCCCCCCCCCCACCACTGGTACAGTCTTGACTCATTTAGAAAGCAAATAAACTGTGTAATAACTTCCCTTTCCGCTTACAATTGAAATAGAGATATCTGTAAATATCATGCATGATCACGAACTGTATGACCGCCGCTTTTATGTCATATAAATTTTGTTTAGTTGGTTACGTTCTTCAAATCTGTGGATCAGAAACCGAAACAAGCTCTTCCGGGATTCACGAGCTTACGTTTTATATACAGTAAATATCATTATGAGTATGTTGCAGAAAGCTAAACGAAAGTTTTATTTCAGTTTTGTTTTGCCACTAATTTCGTTGTCGATCACTATCAGTGAAGCTAAAAATCAGTGCACGAGGTTATTAGGTCTTCGAGACAAATTTCACCTCGGATACATGAGGCTTTCCATGAGCATTTTATGGTTTCTCTCTCGGTTTCCCAAATTTGGTTCGAGCCTCTTTCCATGATCATGACTTGAGCGGAAGGCAGAAAAGAAAAACCTTGTGGTTACTTAGGGTGAACATTGCCATTTTAATATGATATATTCGAATGAATACGAGATAAAAATGATTGTTTTTAAGATATTATGCATTTCTTTTTATCGCATATGACATCCGCGTTGATGTTTCGGGGAATCTTTGATTTCTGCGAATTGCAGAAAAAAAGAAGTAATTCCCTCCACGAAAATTTATCGCTTGTACTTTCTCACTAACTTTACCTGCCAAACTACGTGCAAACTACACGTGGTTTAAATATTAAAATTAAAAAATTGAAATAAAGCCATATAGTCAGACGAAACAATATTCCTTTTTTGTTGTTTTTGTTACATGATTTGTTTCTATCCATTGCTACTGAATTGGCAGATTTTTTAAACCGAAAAGCATTATAATGAGGCTAGGCTAAGCGTGCCAAGATAAGCAAGGTCTCTTAAGGAAATTGTATCCCCAGAAATCTTGCATTGTAGGTGGCCCTTGTGACAGATCATGTAAGTAGCACGTTCTCAGGAAATACAAGTCGATAGTAGAATCAACGAATGTATATTCTCGTGCCAAGTGTCAACCATAATATTGCTTGGATCATAGATTGTTTTCAAAAAGATTAAGATTAATTCGAGGGCGCAACGATTTCGCAAATCTCATTACTGTCCATAAATCGCAGAAATAAGCCATGACCTCGGCAATACACAAACGTTTGAAAAAAAACTTGACCGAAGTAAACAGCTGGCTTCGTATCCGTGTTTTTTTTAAATCAAAGAAGACAAATATAATGTTCGTTTCAGCTGGTACCAGGATGTGATATTCACGTCGACTACTGGTTGAAAACAAAAGCAATTAAACTGATTCAGTGCGAACGGAAGACGCAGCCGGCAAAATACGTAATAAATCAGTTCCTGGAACGGTTTTTATATTCTAACAAAGAAAATGGCAGTGAGGAAGACGAGGTGAGTGTAAAATAGCGCGTTTGGTGTCTCCGGCTAAAGCGGTACCCAATAATTATTTTTACGACGTATAGACAGTATTGGGTAGAGTTAAGGTAGTTTCACGTAGGAGGAATGTGACGGTTTTTAATTCACTGACGACGCGAAAGCGCAAGCGAGAAAAAGGGTCGCAATCGTTACTTCGCGATATTAGCTCGCGTGTTTTCTTACACGCTACTTTCGATACTTGCGTCAGCTTTTACAAGCTTTGAGATAATGGGAAGTCGTGCAGTCGAAGCGCGATGCTCATCCGCTTTCCATTCACTATCGGCGATTCTGAGCAAAGGGAACAATGAATCAAACTGTCCATCGATGGCCAATGCCTGAACTTTTTCGCTTGCTTCATTTCTTATCGCGTGTTCATAGGCTAAACAATTGATTTAGTGACCTTTCTAGGAAGGGGAATCCTGCATTCCAGATTTTATACAAGAAATCGTTCGTTAAAATTCTTTTTGGCTAGTAGTTTCTTGGGAAATCAGTGAAGGAAAAGCTTTTAGCCTCCAGAACATGAGGTTTGAGTTGTCACGTAATCCTCTCCGCCCCAGAAAGTTTGAATAGTGAAATGCTTCAAGATTACCGGAAATGTTAATACAGCGGTATACCTTCCAATGCACATCCGCATGAAGTAACGTAGGAAGGACACTATCAGCTTCATAACGAACCTTAAAAATCGCTATACTACCAAGACCTGATAGCCAACTCGTTCAACACAAGGCCAGGTTTAAAAGCAATTTTTACTGATCAGTTTATTAATTTGAACTTGAGTCGACTAGAATGAGAAAGTCCCTGTTTATTGAACCAGACTCTGGACTTGTAATTACCGTTGTAATGATTTGATTAAGCGCCCGGGGTGCTTATTTACTTTTGGAACCTCAAGGGAGGGCCCCTGTTCGAAACAGGGCGCTTATTTCGTTTTTGAGGAACAGCAGAATGTGAAACAAGGCTTTAATGGTTAGTTGGCTGAGGATCAAAAAGACAGAAAAACAGACTTGTTGTCCCTAGATCCTTCCTTGCTATAACGATTGGCACAAGTTATCGTCGCAAAATTTTAAGACGAGATCTTTCGCTTGAATGAACTGTGGATAGTTGGGAAACTGAGACGAAGACCACTTTTTGTCGTGAAGCTTTAAGTAAGCAATGAAAGGAAGATGGAACACGGTTGATCTCACTGTACATGTACTCTAAAAGTGCTATTACTGAAACAGAATAGAGGCGTTTATTGGAATGAGGAAGCTTACTCAATAGGGGCGCTTATTAACAAAAACAAATTACAAATCAACTTGTTGGAAAACACAAGAATTTTTCCATTAGTTTTGGTTCAATGAAAATCACAGAGCTTGGTTTATTTTGATTTTTAAATGGTTCCAAATTCTCTATTATTGTCACTTTGTCGGGCATTGTGGCGCATTTTGCGGGCTAAAATAGAGATTTTGGCGGGCTAAAATGTATTCTAGCCCGCACGCACGCTTGCATGGGTGTTCAGACTGTATGTACGCATGTTGTCCTTTTTTCAGTCGTAATTCTCTCAATGCCCTCCAAACTGATAATAATAGTGTATTATTCATACAGTTTATGTTTGGGGGGATAAGTATGTTTTAGACCCTTCTCAGAATCATGTTAATCCTCGCCTAGCGGCTTAGGCTAAAATGACATTGAGTCGGGCCCAAAACATATTTATGCTCGCGAACAGACTCTATGTTTCATTCCCGGCTGAGTCGTGGAAATTCTGTCTAACAGCGACTTTTGCCTCTCCTCTGAAGTCAAACTTGTAGCAATGCTCCTGGTCACTTAACCCTTCCACTTGCTCAAATTAAAATGATTAATGAGGAGAATCTTCTTACGGTCATACGACACTGTCAATAAGAGAGGTTATGAAGGTTAACAAAATTTTTTAACTGCATGGGCAATTGTAACCTCGATGCCACACCAGATTCTAGGAATTGGTCAACAAGGAAGTGATGATTACATTTTGGGAGAAGTCGCCCTTAAATCTTGGCAGTGCAAGGGGTTTGCATGTTGTTGTTGTCTTTTTTTTTTAAACATTATTTTGTATTTTTTGTAGGTTTGATGCCTAACTCTTTCAAACTTCCGTGAGAAAGATAGGCTTTTGAATGAAACCATTGACTCTGGCGCGTGGAAATGCAACCACTCCCAAAGGAAGAGAAACATCCGTTTCCAAGTCCTAAGCGGACAAACGAAGGGCCTTTCCTCATGTGCGCCTTGAAAAAAGAAAATTCCCCTATAAAAGAAATTTTTCACAATTTATCCAGTTCATTTGATCCACCTGTCAAAAGGTCTTTGACTGACAGCGAACACGATATGGCTCCGTATCATTTGAAACGTTTCAAACAGACTGAGGAAGATTTAGCGTCCTTGGAAAATGGTGGTAGTATTTCACCCTCAAATAAAGCGAGTTTGCAGCAGATTGTCAGTGAAGTGGCTTGTTCGCTCGAAAGGAATAACTCTGTGCCATCCGCGTCGTTTCGGAGAAAGAAAACATTTGCCTGTGGAGCCTCCAATGCGACATTACGTTCCGTTGGTATTATGGATTTAAAGCGACAAGAGAATGTCTTTGAAAGTTCGCCTCGAGTAGCTGTGAACGCAGCCCAGGAAAATCTGGATGCTTTACCATCTTCAGCCAATGGCCAAGTTAAAGCAGCTCTTCCAGTTTTTAGAACACTGAATTGTCGCAGCTCCAGCACAAATAAAGGTGTTGCAATTGATCATGAATTCTTTCCTAAACTTGTCGGGGTACACTCAATTCAAACATCATCGGCGTTTTCACCCCAGAAAGGAGCAAATACCCATTTTGACCATGATTATGGTTCACCACTGCCCAATGAACTTTTAAAAAAGGAAACTGCAGACGACTGGAACTTTGGAACTCTAAATTACGACAGCGAGACGGAGGGTGACATAGTGAGTCCTGTTTCACCCAAAGCATTTCCCCTGCCACGATCTAATCAAAGCCTATCATCTGATGAATCCATGGTTCGTAGAGACTCCAAATGTCATACGCAGGACAGGCTAAGAGCATTACCCATAATTCCTCTTGTTCTTACTACAAGCATCTCTTCAGATGTTTCCACAAGTCCTTTGATGGATGCAAATCACTCAAGTCGACGTGAAAAGGCGACGTTGCCACGAAAAACTTCCAAGTCAGTCGCTGAAATACCTACCGCTAAAAGTCTTTTATCCAGCTCACAGGAAAATCGTAATGCTTCTCTGCTCGCACAAACTCGTCACTATTCAAGAAAAAGAGAGATTGCGAAAAATACAGAAACATCCTCGGCACCCTCTCTTGTCAGCTCGACATTGATGTATTCAAATAAGAAGCTGAATCCCCGTGAGTCTCCCACAAATATCAAATCTGTCAATAAGCAAGAAGCTGTTGACATCCATCGAATGGCTGCCAGCAGCCCGCCGCGTAAACGTCACTGTCGTTCAAGTTCACCTTCCAAGAAGCCGTACGACCTCTTGTTCAATTTTAAAAAACCAAATGGTAGGAGTGATTTGTTTCTCGTTGTGAAAGATAAAGTGTTTGCGGTGGAACATTTTGACTACGAAGGAAGGTCATACTTGATTCATACCAACCATAAAGGGAAGAGAGCCATTCTTGCTAAACTTCCAGAAGCTGAAAGACTTAAGTTACAGATTAATGACAGAGGAGCTATCAGACATGAGCAGCAGACGGATCAACCTGCGACCCTACAGCATCCTGCTAAGACCTCTCTTTCTGTAGCAGCACTACAGGATAGCCTCTATCACGGAGACGCGACAGATACAGTTTCTTCTATTTCCAGTCGCCAGCTGGATTCAGACACGATTTACAGAGTAATGAGAGAAGAGAACATGCAGGAAAGAGCAAAATCGCTGAATGAAAATGGTGAAATTTTATCCAGAGGTGCACTGGTCCGGAATGGTGGTCAGATGAAAAGCCATTGTCATCCCTCGACGATGTCTTTGCAAAATAAAAGGCTACTACTAAAGCAAGTGCTAAATGGCATAAGGAAAGAGATATCTAATCACAAGGACACTGTGTTCGTTGGAAAGCACAGTCTTCCACAGGAATCTACCGATACACTAGCAAACGATCGAGGTATTTATGTTTTCAGTACCACACACTCCACTCCCAGATGTGCCTCCACTTTGTCTGGAAGAGAAAGAAACCTACAAAGCATCGTAAATCCAAACAATTTGGATAGATATCAAGAATTTGATGCACTTTACCATCAACAGCAATACTTAAATACTGAAGTGGAGAGTTCAGCCAGGAAAATTCATGCAGTTGGCACTGGGCAGCAAAATTTCCTTGAGAATCAACCTGCGAAAGAAGCCACCAACGAAAGGTTCGCTCTTGGAAACACTATGCCACCTGGGACATTGCACCGAAGCGAATCGATAAATTTTATCGCTCATCGATATGACTCAAACGAGCATGCCTTGTCAACATCTGGCTCCGTGAACAAGCCATCTGAAGATACAAAACAGATTTTCAGCCTGAGCAAGACAAGTGCAAACGACGTGATCAACGTCGCCAAAACTGGTGCTTCCGGTCGCATGTACATCTACGAGAAGTCGCCACGTAATAGGCAATTTCGACAGCTTAGTAAACTTTTGTTAGGAGACAGCCATGGAAAATGCAGCACTAGTGCAGCACCCCCGGCTGGAAATAGAGCTGTGGAAAGTTCCAGAGTCGCACAAGCTTCAACTCCTTCCGAACCAGTACCAGTTCTTTTGAGAATTCCTAATGAAGTGCCGGATCACAATGCCAAGTTTTTTAGGAAAAGACCAAGCCCAGACACCATTATCCAGCAGCGTGCCGTTTTAGCCGACACCTGTCATTCACTCAGGCAGGAATGTTATAATTCGAAGACCATACAGCAACTCCTGAATGGACGAAATGAGGCATTACGGATGCATTCAAATCAAATAAGACAAGGTGAAAATGGACTCTTTCAGTCTTGCGTTGCTGCTTCCACCGACTTCCTACAAAGCAGGGAGTGTCCATGTTACAATACCAGTGCTGCTGGTGAGAAAAATGTTTTAGTTCACACAGTATCGGAGGGAGCCACTCGAAAGACCCAACAGCCACTTGAATTGCAACCTAGGCGTGCCCACATCAGTTTTCAGCAAAGATACCTTGAGGATGCACTAAATCGAGGTATCACAGACGTCGCTGATTCATGGGAAGTTGCTAAACCATTGGACGCCGAGAGAAATACGGCAGGCGACAACGTCTGGGAAGGAATGGAACTACAACGTGGCAACTATCAGAAGACTTGCGTCAGTAATGGAGCAGTACCAGAAAGTCCTATGGGAATGTCTAAGCCCTACAATCGCAACGGAGATAATTTCGAGAAAACTGAGGATCCCATCCAAAAAAATTCTCAAAATGATCTCACACTTCGAGAACAGCTAGAGAAAGAAAGTCCAACCACTAGCAGACAAACAGTGAAAGAAAGGGGTAAATCGAAGAAAAAACATTCATGCCGCCCTGAGTCAAAGGTGGAGAGAAACTTGTCTCACGTTCCCGGTACGGCTGACGTTATTGTCATTGAAGATGACTGAGAGATCAACTTTTTTGGACAAAAATCTCTTGAAAGGGTATATATTTAAAACTTAAGAGTTCAAACGTTAAGGTTAATTGTAAAATTAAATTTTTAAGGCCCTTACAGACTTTTCATGCCTAAAAACAAACATAACGCGCTCGAAGTAAATAGAGTAACTTAATCATGCTGAAAAAGTTTAAGAATAACTTCGAACTGTGGTACAATGTTTGTAACTGTTTTTTATTCTGACATTTTAAATGATCTAAGTCTATGATTTAACATATTACAAAGATAGATGAGTAAATCTTTGTTTCTGTTTTATTTTTAAACTTATTTACAATAAAATTGTATGGAAAGTACATAGAACATAATTTAAAATGTGGTCACACGTGCAGTTGCGAATTGAACATTGAAACCCTGCTATAGTGATTGGAAAATGTGAATATTAAAGTAGTATTTATTGGTAAAACGTAATGTATTATGGTTACTCTTTGGAAAAAGTAAGGTAACACAGATGCGGATATAGGATTCTTTATCTGAATTTGATCTCCGCCAGATTTAAAAGCCTTTCTCTCTTTCGCGCCAGATTTCGAATTCGCGCCTCGCGGATTTGCAAACTTTGTATCAAGTCGATGTCCTCTTGTCTTCCACTTGGATTATAGATTCTGGGACTTGTAAACCCTTGCTTTTCTTCGTCTTGTAAAATTCTTTCGAGCGAGGACCCTTGATTTTCTTGTGGTTTTGCATTGTCCTTTTCCTCTCTTTGGTCGAGTTGCGGGTAGTTAATCCCTGCACAAAATTTACATTCTGACTCTTGTGAGTATTCAGGTTGCTTTTCGCCCGTTTCATGGTATTCATGAGTGCTCTCGGTAGTGAATTTTTTTTCTTTTCTGTTTTCCAATGACACTTGACAACCTGTTAGGAAAAAGTAAACTGACAATTACATTCAACGGGTCCTTTGGCTAATCATACTGAGCCGTTTTGTAACGCGGACTTCGAGGCCGCATCTCAAGATGAAAGCACTCAGTATTGTGACAGAATTCACTGGAAATATTCCCATATTTATAGATGGTGAGAGTCTTAAGGTTCGGGAGAAATCGTTATGAGACGCAAATCAGGCAACATAGACCTCTTAAAACAAAGCTCATTCCTTTTTTTTAATTTGCAAGTAAATAAGCCTCATTACCCTTGATGGTATACATGAGAATTTGGAGACCAACATATAGTAAAGGGCCAAAAAGACTTATATTTGTATTTACTCAAATAATTGCTACTGGAAGGCCCCCCACATATGAAAAGGGTCAATACCTTCCCCAAAATTACCTTTGCCAGGTCCTTCATCTCCTTGACTTTCCTCTTTTGCGTCATTTGCCTGATTATGCACTGCGTAATCCAAAGGCGGATCTGATGGTTCCATTTTGACGCTTGCGTAACCTTCATCTTTGCAATGTTTGCATTGCGTGAAATCAGGGTAACATAAAACAAATTCTCTCCTGGCTAATATGGCACAATCGTCAGTTGGTGTCACATTATTTTCTTCTACTCTAGATTGCGTGACACTTCGAACATTACATGTTACTTCTTCAGTGTTGGTATTGATCCTAGCCACTAATTCTTGGCCTGATAATGACAGAACTTTCATCTTCTTTGCCCCGCCGTTCTCTGCTTGATCAGCGTCAGACAAGGAGGCAGACCTTTTCTTGCAAGGAGATGAAAGATCTAATCCAACTTCGAATGGAAGTCGTAGAAATGACTCATTTCCTACATTCGATTTTATCAAAGTCAAGCTTCCACGACCCTTTCGACGATAGTCATTTTTCATCTGGATGTCATAATTGTAGGATGTTTTAGGTCTGTACTCGTCCTCAATTTTGGTTGCATTGGTGGGCTCTCCGCTATTTTGTTTGTAATTGCAGTGTTCCTTGGTATCCCCGTCTAAGGAGAAAAAAATTTTTAATTACCTTCCTTGGGTTTTCAAGATCGTCTTTAACACGAATTACATGTATTTTGTTCTTGTTATTTTGGCTCTTGTTTTGGCGCTCAGAGAATATATAAATCATTCTCTGCAGTAGGTTGCTTGCTAGGTTACGTTGCAAAAATAGCATTACATTCTGGGGCAGCTAATTAAAAGTAACCCTTAAAACGCTTTAAGATCATCAGTTAAAAGATATTTTAGTTCCAGACTGGTATGAACAGCCACCTCGGGGGTCAGAAGAAAGTGGCCGTTACAGAGAGGTAGCCTAAGAGGGAGGTAAATTTTAGTATGACATTTATCTCTTTAAAGGGCTGAAAATATCTGTAATTAATAAATCCTCAATGTTTCTCAATGAATAGGTCACAATATCAAATAGATCAAAAAGAAAGAAAACAAAAGTTCACGATGTTCAGCTGAAAGACGTGAACAAATGAAAACGAATAAGATAGAAGCTTACCAATATTCACGATAACTTGATCAGTTACCAGTTTACCATCAGTTGCGCTAATTACAATTGAGCTTGCGTTCATATTTTTGTTGTTCTCCTGTGCAATTTCCTTGCTGTTATCCACTTTCTTATGAAGGCAACTAGCGCCAGTTTTCTGTTGACTTTTGCCTTGCTCAGCTTTGTTATTCCTCATACCTTCGATGAGAGATTTGACTTTTTTCCGTAAACCAACTATAGCTTTCAGCATTCGTTTCTTCCTGAAGTCGGACTCCGCCCTATCAAGTCGACTTTTGATAAACCGGATTCTTCTGACCAAGTCACGCACATTTTCTCGGGCATTGTCCTTTTGCAAATGATTTTGAAGTCTCTTTTCTTTAGTAGCTGGACAAACGGCGATAGAACCATAGCTATCCTGGAAATAAAAAAAAAGACTTAGACGGTTTCTTAAAAAAAAAAAAAAAAAAAAAGCTAAAGCTTTAGACGTTTACAAATCTTTTACACAAATACATTATATTGGTTGCGTTTAGAATTATGACCATAGCCAGGAGCCCATTAATAAGCTCCTGTCGTAGCTTGCCTCGCTTCCATAAGAAATATGTTGTTCTTTCTCATTTGCCGGAACACCAAATATGAATATTTCCGGTATCTTAGAAATTGTAACGGACAAACGGACCAAAGGATTCCTAAGTGGCTATGAACTGCTATGTCAGGTTCACGTGGCATCCAACACAATCTAAATGACTGCTAAACTCATCTCACATCAAAAAAAAATTAAAAACAAAAACCAAACCTCGCATGAAAAACTTGCCATGTTATCTTTTTGTGGACGTGTACTTTCTTTGAGACCCATGCTTGTTTCCGATGATTGAAACTTTACACTCCCTTCGAATTGTTTGTTAGTCACGTTTCCAACGCCTGATTGTGAAAGTTTTTTGTCATCGCGTCTCACACCGATAAAGCTGCTCTGCGCTTTGAAAATCCCCTGCTTATCATCATCAAGCGCGCAAAACTTCATATGTAATTTTGGTTTGGCGCAGTCCAAAACATCCCGTTGGCTCGCTTCGCGACTTCTACTACGGCTATTAGGTGAACCTTCTTGGATAAAGTCAATTGGTTTTTCTCTTGAATTCTTTTTGTATTTCAAGTTGGCTTCTACTTTCGTGGACACATAAAGATCTGTCGATCTACAATGCTCTCTTTGTTTCTGTGTTTGGCGTTCATCTTGAAGTAGAGTTAAGGTTGTCGTTTCCTCTGTAGAAGGTGTGTTTTCCTTCGCTCCCCCCATATGTCCTTTTTTCACAGGGTGTGTGGTGTCAGTAGGAGGTCCCAGACGCCCAGTACGAGTCGGGTCACAGTTGAATACAGATACACCCGTTATCACCTCAATATCGTTGAATGCAGTTTTATTCGTTCTCATCTGTAACTCATCTCTTACCACCACAGACGTACCAGCTTGGGTATTGCATTCCGGCCAACACACTGATACAATCCTTGGAAAGTTGATATAGTCGAAAGCAATCCCAGCATTAAATGTCACCGCAGAGGGCTGAAGTGGAGCGAAAGGATGAAGGTCTGCCATGACAAAGATATGGAATAAAAACATAAAACTTCCACAATGGAGGCAGTAAAGAATACTGGTGCTGCATTTGAAATGTCATAGGCTCAAGTTTTACCAATATTTATAACTTTAAAATTAAGATGCACACAGAAAAGTAAATAAAATGTATTGACATTTTTATGAAAGTGAGGAAGAGCCACACATGCACTGCGGGTTCGTTTTGAGACATCGGCTTGACCAGAGGAAATATAGGAATATGTTATGACTTACCAGTGGTTGCTCTGTGAAGGCAGTTCAAGCTAGCTATTGGCGAGCCTATCTGACTCGTCACAGACTCCGGCTGAGAAGCGCCGCTGGAACATTTCCTTTCAGAGTCATAAGCAGTGAAAGCAGCAGGCTTCATACCAGCCTGATTTCTTTCCTGGTGAGCAAAACATTAGTTTCTGATGCTAAATTGGAAAAGATACCCATATCAGTACAGAAGATTTCTAAATACTCAGGACCACGACTCGCCGAGGGTTAAATTTTTATAGATAATCTTGACCGCGAGGTTGAACCCTTCGAAGGAGACACAGAGACCTATAGACGCGCTCTCCTTTATTTCTGAGACCACTGAATTTTACAGCACATCAGATTTACGTGATGAAAATGAAATGCCACTTCATCGAGATAAATGACATTCCCATTGAAAATAGAGTCCACAATTAACAACGTACCTTATTGTGTGTTTTCTGTCCCTCTACGTTGTGTCTTTTTCTCTCTTAAAATGAACCGTTATCGCGCATGACGTACACAATCTTGCATACGAAAAAAGCGTAAAATAAACGGACCCAGCGCGCGCATCTTAACTGCATAGGACGACTGGTAGGGTATTTATAAGTTAAGCAACAATCAGTTGAGGCATGTTTTTAAAATTTTTGGCGAATCTTTTGGTTATATCCCTCAAAACATATCCCTATGTTTTCGCATTGCTCTATGCTGTACCAATAAACAAAATGTCCACCCCTGGTATTGTATGCTGTGATCATCAGTACAAGTAATCGCACTGATTTGGAGTGTGATTCGGAATAAACGTGCATGAGCAATAAATTACGAGTGCTAATTCATTCCAAACTGGACGACGAAAATCGTGTGATTTATTATTAACAGTATATATATATATGCATCGAAATTTTGAGACAGTTGTTCCTGATTATTCAAAAGCAAAACGCACGAATCGCGTGTAAAATCATTTATTTAAAGCCTGTAAGTATCATTGTATCGTCAGGAAAGGAACAGGTTTTGTAAAAGGGAAATGGGATGAAAGATTTGGAAGCGAATTGTTGAAAGTAGGTGCAAACTTGTTATACTTGACGGCACGAACTCTTCGAGGTGGGAGCGAATTTCTAAGGGGCAAAATTTTAATGGGAAAAAATCTCCAAAAGTTGTAAGCGTGTGTTCATCGAAATACGATGCGCGCGGACAGGTCAGAGAGTACCGGAAAGATACGTAAGCTTTCCCCGAGGTGTAGGCGTAGATTTTACGTATAGGTCAGTTGCTTTACAAAAAATTCAACGCCCGCATTTGAAAAAACGTGGTATCCGGAGAAACTCCCCCTGCTACGCTTCAATGCGTACACCCACGTCACCAGCGTGCACAATGAGAAGAATACACTCTCACGCAACAACACGAATTTAATTACCATGTAACGATAAAGCTTAGTTTGAGGTAACAGCCAGATTACTATTTAAATGGTTGTTCAACTAATGGATATTTGCTGTGCTAATGTATGTATATGATTCGTTAGCTACTACTTCTAGCTCTGGCCCCGGTTGTTCGAAGCACGGATGAAGCTATTTACCGGATGAATCTCTATCCGGTGAATACCGCAGTACGTTTTGTTAACACTTATCTGCTGGATAGTGGTTTACCCGTTGAACAGCCTTATCCGGTCTTTAGAAACTGGACCCTTTATTTGCGCGCGCAAATCACGTAGCTCGGAAGTTATTAATTTATTTATAGACTGATCAAAAGGGCCGGATAGGAAAATATTTGGCTCACGGTCATTACGTTTGGACCGAGCGCAGTGATAACCAAGAGCGCTATTAATACTTTCCCGTTCGGCCCGACCACACTCATTCAATATGCAATTTATCATATGACCAGTCAGCCACGAAGTGTTAGAAATTTCGAAAATTCTGTTCCAACCTAAATAGGACATACTCGCATACAAAACAAGGGTGAGTACTGGACAAAAATTATATACATGGTTAAAACTTTTCCTTTTTTTCCTTCGAGTCAGAACAAGAAGCTCATAATTCATCAAGAAATAATTGTGACTAATTTTCTCTTTTGTTTAGGCTCTATGCCTCTCATCCTGACGTGATCCAGGTTTCTTTTACGATGGAAACGTTCTATGCTTTTAAAGACGATGCAACTTTGGCTGTGGGTGAGGAGAGTACGCTGACAAGTTTGGGTAAACAATCGTAATCCAGAGCATAACTACCATGAAGAGAGGATTTGTTATCTTTCAGTAACTTTCGCTGCACAGGCTTGGCTGTTTTGATGACTGCGTCGACATTTTTGCACTTTTTGGGAATCACCTTCTCCGCGCGTAAAACTTGTGATTTCACTGGAACATCATCGGTGGAAATAGTCGATGATAGTTCACCTTTAGCATCTCCAGTTTTGTGGTGGTGGTTGCCGTCAAAATTAATGGGAGTGGATTTTTCTCCAATGCGCTGGTCACCATGAACAGTTTCTTCTGCCATCCCAGACAGACTAGATATTTCGAGAGCTTCACTCTTCTTCAGGCTTACTTCTTCGCCGAAACTGCCGAGAAATGGCAGAGAATCTGTCAGAAAGCTTTCTAAAGTGTCATTCAAATCTATGGTTTTGTTTGATGTCTTTTGCACTTGGTGGGTTGCATCCTTGCCAACTCGTTGCTTCTTGTGTGTTCCTTGATGTAGGTTGTCATATTCTGAAAAATTGCTGGATTTTCTCTTCAAAGATGAATTCAGTTCTGAAGACATAGCATACGTACCAGTAGAATTATAGGGTTCAGTAGATCTAGTTTGGAATTTCTCAGCGCGTTTCGATGTAGTCAGAGCTGATGGGTTATCCTCATAGCTTTGGTCTCCGCATAGATACCGTTCACTTATCTTTCTCCGTAACTCTGCTGCCTTAAATTGCTGGTTTGCGCCATGATTGCCACGGTCGGGAGCGTCATCTGAATGGTTACCTTTCGTACAGCGGAGAGAAGGAACAGTGCGTTTGAAGAGAGATTGCTTCTTGTCACATGCATTTTCTTTCGATATGGTTTGAAGTTGTTTGCCGTTTTCTAGGACAGAAGCAGCGTACTTTGGACGAGGATAACTGTATGCCCGTGCGTCGACGGTGTTTTTCCCACCGACAGCTCCCACTGTATTCCTTTGAGGCTTCGAAACAATTTCTACTGTACTTTGTTGCGGCCTAACACAAGTTCTGTCACCAAGAACCGTAAGATCACAGCATGGATGCGGAGTTCTTTCACTTCGGCACGGTAATCCTTTGACAGTCCGACGGACGCAGCAAGAAGGCTCCCTTTGTTGATAGGTAACAGTCCTCTTGTCGCATGAATGTAAAAAGTGGCGAAAGTGACTTGTCCAATATGCGTACTCTTCTTTGGTCAAGTGTGGTCGGAGAAAAAAAGCTGAGTCAGCTGAAGTTTGATGGATCGCTGATCTCATTTGAGAACTTGTCGCTAAAATTATCAAAATTAAAATAAAAATTATTCCTTGACTTTATTAGTTATTACGCTAAAACGAGTTCAATTTCCCGTTTCATTATGCCCTGAAGCGAGTTCACTCTCTGATCGTGATTTGAGCACGTTTGTTTTCGAGAGCTTTGGCGGGTCTCGATGGGGTAAACCGATGGCCGTAAACCGGCTAAAACATTTAGCCGTTAAGCGTAAAAATTGGCAAACTTTAACCCATAGTCGTAAGAAAAGGTAACTGAAAAAAAAAATTCTTATTTCAACAATGGAATGTTATTTATCGTAAGCCGTAAGATGGCAAACATTTCAACCGTTAGCCATGAATGAAAGCCATCACCCCATTGCGACCCTCTTAATCGTTCTTTCTGAATATATTTTCTAACATTCCGTGAGGGTTCGAGTTGAAGAGGTGACATGTAGTAAGAACAATTCTGTTCAAAGATAAATGGTGTTTCAATGGCAAGAAGTACCTTCACAGTTACTGAACTTCTTTGTACGGCTTGTATTTTCGAATGCACTTCCTCACCTCTTACGTAACATGGTGAAATTATGCCTTCTAAGTTACAAAAATCATGACACAATACAATTTCAGTTCGAGGATATATAATGATGTTTTTGACCCCACTCAGAGTCATTTAAGCCCGAGCCGCTGCGTTTTTGCAACTTACCACAGTCCGAAGAGAAATTTCTCGAAGCAGTGCCACAAACTGTCTGTTTTAGGTTGGTTTGTTAATTGTTACTATGTATAGTTTTATCCTGTCCTGTAAAGGATCTTGGTTACTTCCATTAGGTTTTTTTTTATATTTTCACAGAAATGAGCAGTTTGCGTCATGTACTGTCATGAAACATTCAATTTGTCAAATAAGTTACTGTCTCCAACATTATGTCGCAGTTATAATGGTTGTTTGACGACATTTAATCGAAAACTTGATTGAAGTCATTTGTCGTATAAAACGCGCTCAGTTGAGAGCATAAATAATGAGTCGGTATGACGTCAAACGTTAAAGTTGTTTTCTTCTTCACGGCTGGTTCTCACAATTCCCAAGTCAAGTTCTCGCAAGAAAATTACCTTAGAACCTGCCAACGGTTTTGTTACTAGAGGGTAAACTCGAAATCGTAAGATTTTCGATTCCTATGAAGTCAAGGTTTACAACAAACCACAGTAAGTTCTAAGTGAACCTAACATTAGCATGATAAGGAAATCAGCACGTGAAACTACTCACGATTAAGACTTCCTGTTATGTTTTTCCTGCCACTAGCCATGTGCTCGGATGCGTGGCTGAAACCACTACAAGCATAACGGCATGCGCTGAAGGGTTTGGACTTCTGCTGAGACGTACTACAATAATGAAGGAGATGCGCATCACAGCTACAACGACAGGATTGAGAAAACGGATTCATTTCGTTCAGGAAGGAGACACGCTTGTGTTCACAGTTCTTGCAGATAAACTGAAAGAAAACACAGTTGTGCACATGTAATTAGCAAATCAAAGTATCTGCAAACAGTGCCATCGGGACACGTTAAGTATTAATTTCCGATTTGAGGTAATTGCACGTTTGATGAAAATGTAAACAAAGCGCTAAATTGCTGTAGATCTGAAATTTACCTATCTTTGGGCTTGCTGCAAAATTAGCAACCTTTCCCGCAGAAAGTCATGTCGAATAATCCGCCTACCGTAGCAAGCTCGTGCTTTTAGCCTGAACAATTGCGTAATGTGCTCTACGAACCATAAAGATACAATATCTTATATATCAACTCTAATGGAACAACAATCTACAACAAATATCCGTTTTGATTCGAAACGGAAGCTTTTCCGTTTCAAAAAAAGATCGGTTTACTCAAGTCTTTCTCTAAATTCGGCTTTCGCCCGTCTACATGTATTAACTAATAGGCTGACACAGACTACCGATTGATCATGTAAGGAATGGTCTAATTTGATATCAATTGTCTCACCAGCGGTAGTGCATAGATATAGCATCCAATCGCAAAATCTAAATTGACTGGAGGTATCAAAGCAGAATGTTTTTTGTTGTATTGACATCAGCCAGAGACAGCCACTTTAAGTCCTTGTCTATGATGGCTGCTAATTTACGTAATTTCAGTAGACATTTATTTTCGTCCTTTTGGAAAAAGGTCGTTTTCAAAAGCTTCTCTTTTCGGTGAAGAACGTCCTTGAACGTTATGCTTTCAGTGATCGTTTTCTTTGGATACGGGTGGACCGTAAACTTTTACCGAAAAACGAAATAAAAAAAAAGGCGTTATCGAAAAAAAATCAGTCATATAAAAAGCACATTATGTTTTAAATTTATCTATATGAATATTGGCATGTCTAATATTGGTGTACCCCAGTAACCGCATTTATAGATGCCGTGGATACATATGACCTTGCTTCCAAGCTCTCTCGAACAGTTCTTTCCATATTCCATTTATTAAAATTCTCCCAAACGAAACCGGGAAAAAATATAGAAATTCATTAAAATTGTAGAGCGAAAGTTGACGAGATTTTAAAAGTTCAAGAAGTTTGTTGAGTGGCTATGATTTGTGAGTACATGACAAGAATAAATTAAATATTAGACACCGATGCACCTTGAACAAAAGGAAAAGGAAAAGGAAATACCGGAGATCAAGTGTGTAATTACCGTGTAGCCAGACGAAGAGCTTATTGTAATGATGAAATAATTTGGATGCATAACTGAAGACTGCATGTCGATCGGAAACGTAAGCCCTCCTTGCAAGAAAGACTGATTACTCAGAAAAACCGCAGGCCGCAGAAAGAGACACAAGCACAGGGAGGCTGAAAAAGAGAAGAAGATTTGCTCCGTTCTGCATCGACGTCACTGCAAATTTGAAATTTTTGTGATGGCTGTTCATATTGATCGTCTGTTGATCATTCATTCACTTGCTTGACGGCAACTTAACAAATAAGGTGCAGAAAACTTATAAACTCCATAATGACTTGTATTAAGAGCATCTCAGAACATTTCAGTTAACTTTCAGTTTCTGATGTTTGCGCGCTTTGCCGACCTAACAACTGATAAATATCCTTCCACTGTCAGCTTTTGGCCCTTTTCACACTGTTCACAAAAACAAATGTTCAGATAAAAGGTTCAGAGAGCAGAGAACAGAGAAGGGCTAACGCACGAAACGTCGGCCTTTAAACTCTTTAAGGTAGCCAATTTACGTTTTCAACTCAGTTGATGACACTAAATTACCCCATTAAAAGCTAATCTTATATTAAACGTACTGCTCTCAGGCACACTCGCTTTACAGCTATAAGATATGTTCATCACTTCAGCGCAACTATGCAAACAACAAAAGTAGCAAATTAAGTTAGTTAATTATAAATACAGTAAGAGAGGTAATTTTTTTTCCGTACACGAGTAATGTGCCTGCTATTCCTAGGTTTGTATTTTCAATGAAACTATCACAATTAACAATATCACATGCTCACTTGACGTGCAATGAATGAGCAGCACTGAGTTAATGTACATTTACTCATGATATCGGGCTTTAAGATTAGACAAAAAAAAACAACAACAGAGTAAACGATTCTAATCGTCGCTCAGTTTTATAAACACCGCCGGTAGGCCTATTGAAATCACTTTCTCTTCCTTTTATACTATCGGAAGTGGAGGTGTTGTCTTGAACCTACAAAGTAAGCCTTCTTTTCATAATTTGTTGGAGGCATATCTCAGTTACATCAGTCCTTTTGATTACTTTTCAGCGGTACAGGTGGTTACTTTCACTTTGTAAGATACCGCTTCCGTCGACATTGGCAATTTTCCTACAACTACAAAAAATTTTACTAAAACTGACAGAGTCCATTTCAACAGGAAGACAAAAACACAGTTGTTAGCTCACTTGACCGGGTTTTTAAGGGGATGTTTAGCTTTCCGTAAAAAATTTTTTGTCTTAATTCACGCGTTTGAACACAGGAAGTTAAGACGTTTTTGTACGTAAATGGAATCCGACAGCCGGACATGTTTTCGAAATTTTTTGCAATTTGAGATTTTATTTCAAGGACAATTTGACAGTTACATTTTAAGCAGAACTAGACAACTGCTCGATCGGATTTCCTTGAAAACCGAAAGTCAAATACTTCTGGCATCCACATCCTGAAATGTCTCTCTCGAATTGGTCGTGACAAGTTAAAGGACCTTAGTAATGCAAGAATCCTTAGGATTACATATAATGACTTCTTCCTGTTTAAGCTGACAATGTCTCGATCACTGCACCAGTGGCTAATTTCGCGGAAAAGGTCACAGTTAAAGAACAGTTTTGCTTGTCGCAAATGAAATAACTCGAAATTTCATGGTCCACCAAAATCTTGTACAATGGTTCGTAACAAACATAATAAATCTATATTTTTTCAAATAACCTTTGATTTTCTTATCTGAGCAATTTTTGTATCATTACTGAAATAAAAAAAATTACCTAGAAACTTTACCTAACACAAGAATGACTAACACGCTATTATAAAAGACAATCAAGGCTTTACGTCGTCTTGAGTGTGGAACAAAATTACGTCACTTCTTATTGTTGTACCTGTTTCCAACCCGACCGTCAAAATCAAAATACAATTGAAAATATTTTCATTGTTACGGTTTTCTCCTTGTTAATCATTAGAAATAGTTCCCTGTAAAAATAAACTCTTTTTTCTATTCATATGAAATGATCGCTCTGAGCTGTTTTTATCAACATAGCTTCGTCTTCATCCCCGCATTGTCTTTAAGATGAGCTTTTATCACATCCGAATTTTGAGAAGATAGTGTTTCAAACAACAGTTTCAAAGTAACAGATCTTCTTTAGAAACTCTCTACGGTGTCCTGTTTATATCATAAACTCAGCTGATAGAACCAAATTATCTTGTAACAAATTTTCGTTTCGTTGCCCGACAGAAATTGCCGGTTCTGGTGTATTTTGTGAGTTGTAAGGGTTGACTGAGATCCATCACTTTCCGGATGTTTGTTTCACATTGTTTTCTGGGAGAAACGTTCCAGCAGCAGAGAAAGTACAGACAATAGCAAGACCTGTGCTAGCAGTTAGATCGACCGAGCATATAAGAAAGAGCATGGTAAATTCAATGGTGTAATTTAGTTTGATCAACTGAGTTGATAACGTAAATTGCCACGGTAAAGAGTTTCAAAGCTGACGTTTCGAGCGTTTCGAGCGTTAGCCTTCTTCAGAGCGAATGACGGTATAGACACTAGGAAGACCTGTGAAGACCTGTGAAAACCTGAAGAAGACCATTCGCTCAGACAACGGGCTAATGCTCGAAACGTCAGCTTCGAAACTCTTTACGGTGGCTAATTTACGTTATCGACTCAGTAGATAATACTAAATTACCTTGTTACACTCTCCCAGCGACGAAGCGCCACAGTTTCTTTAGAAACTTACCCTTTTATTCATGGTAAATTCAGTGATGCACTGTTGACTTACTCTTGCTTGGTATTTAATAAGAAATTGTTTCCAGAAAGGAAAAACTCGTGAGGCGTATCATCAACAATGTTTCTAAATCTTTTGCCTCAAGGTTTAATCAATGTTCTTATCTTTAGCCACATGGTGATTTAGATAACTTAGGAGTAAATTACAGATAGCAGCTAAACAAAAGCAGCTAAACATAAGACGTCTTCACTCATGACCGCATGATCAGCGCTTCTTAGTGTCCACTTTTCTCGAACGTTTGCCGGATTTTCACTGTCGCATAATATTAGGTGCGTTGACCGCAAACGTCGCCTGCTTTCAGCTGCGGCAGTTCGTGCCGGCGCTAAAACGTAAATATTTGTAGGGTGTAGTTCTCACCATTTCCCATTTCTGTAAACTTTTTTCTTTATCTCAGTGACTTGAGTGACTTAATGTGCACAAAGTAAACGAGTAAAGGGCTTTGAAGAGGGCGGAGTAACTATTTCCGCAGACTCAGGACCGTGTCTACATTTTGTTTTGTCTCGTATTGTAAAATGCGTTAAATCACAGGACAGTAGAAATCTAGCAATGAACGGTTTTGAAAAGATAGGAATGTACATACCTTACGAGATGATTAAACATAGACAATCGATCAGCATGGCTTTGGCAGCGTCTGTTACTTAAGTCTGACATACAATGGAGTGTCCTTCACTGAAACGAACTTAAAAACCTAATTCCAACTGAAAAATGATCCCCGGTGTGAAACTTTCTCGTTAGGCACCAAATAAGGTATGTTTTCGTCTTCCGGCCTGGTTCAAACTTTTAAATCTCTTTTTCTTGCACTTTCTAAAGCATTGTGAACCAATTTTTAAACTATTATCTCTCTTAAATGTATGCGATGTCGAAAGACAAATCGAGTGATTACTTCCCTCTCTGAGAGTAGTCGATAATATAACAAGTTGGAAGGAAAAAAAAAAGCCGAATACTGTAAGCGTCGTTCACTAAATTGCGCTTTTGAAAAGAAGCTTACGTTTACTTTAGTATTGCTGTCGTTACCGGCATACATTTTCGTTCTAAAATGCCTTGTCTATCTCACACTTAGCGAGAAAAAATTAAACCCAATTCGCTCAACAAGGGGTTGATCCGCATATACAAAAACAAAACATTACAATTTGAATACAAGAAAACTTACCAAACTCTGAGCTGTTACTTTTTTCTCAGAACCTCACTAAAGAAATGCGATTATCTGTATGTGGAATATCATTTTGTCCGCGTGCACGTTAGTAATGTACTATTTATGTACCAGGTTATCCGGTGACAGTTTTTCCGTGTTCCAAACACAGGAAGTCCAAAAATTTATCAGTTAAACAACAAGGAAATATTTTGTGGGGTAATTGTCATATATCAAGACACTAACACATTTCTTGGCCTTCGCTTTATCAAAAAATTTTGAAAAAATGAGAAGATAAATAAACTGAAACCATAGGCCATGTTCCTGTATTTGATAGATCCGCAAAGCATACAAACGTCACGTGCTTTTACCGTAAGTACTTAGTACTGGAAGTACTTAGTTGAGATCCGGCCCTTAATAGCTTCATACTATGATCAAGTATACACAATAGGCAATATTGGAAAAATACTGCAATACTGAAAAAATAACTCTTTAAATAGTTCCAATTTAATCCGTTTCAGGCTCAAATTTTTGAAAGCCTTGAAATTTAGCCACGGCTTTGAAAAATTTGAATTTATTCAGTTGTGGACTTCGATCAGGATTTATCATAATATTTGCTTCCAATGATAATGTTCGTGTCATCATATCAAGTATTTATTGCCGTAGGTAGCCGGTATACATTTTAAGCATTTAACACGCTAGCTCATATCTATGAGGAGCCAAAGGTATTTTTAGCTCATTTGAGCATTTTTTGAGGCCAAGGTGAGTCACCCCTTTTTGCGGCAGCGATGAGACCATTAACCTCTTGATATTGAACCATTTCACCCTCGCAACGTCAATACAAACTCCCGTACCATCTGCCATTTATATTCCTCTGATTTGAGCTGTGAGCATCTGGTTTAAATCATTCAGTATGCCGTTGCTTATTTTTTTAATTATCCTTTTTAGGGACCGGCCCTTTTAATCGGGGCGGGGGTTGGGTCGCATGATTTTTTTCAGTGGTAGTCAGTGGTAGTATCAGTATCGGTGGGGGGTTGGGTCGAATGATCGAATGATTTTTTTCAGTGGTAGTATCAGTATCGGGAGGTAAAGCCGGCAACGCCGATATCCTAGCATTGGGAGGTAGAAGAAAAGGGATCATAAGTATATTACAGAACCTTATGGGGGGACTAGGTTATAGTTTTATCGTGTCCGACCTCCTAGGCGATAAATAATAAGCGGTCCGTCAATGATAGGCTCTTTTACAAACGGAACAAACGGTTGTTTTCCTGAACGCGCTTGACCTGCCTTTCAAAAATAAGCACGCGAGAGAGGTTGCATGAGGCAGAATTTTACTGCAAGTATATATTGTTTTTCCTCAACATGATAAATTGGTGAGATTTTGTTTAATTAAATCAAATCACGCATGTCCTTAGGGAACGCCCATGTAATGAAGACAGAAATTCATTAATTATTAATTATGAAATACAGTATGTATATAAACGAATTGAGACATCATGAATATCACCCGCTGATCATGAAAGCTCAGTCTATGTTCAACTCGAGCCGAAGCTAAATAGAAATTTGATATAGTTTTGATATCTAGTGATGCAAAAAGAGCTATCAGTAGGTCGCCATTTTTCATAACTTCTTTCGTAGTTAGACTCGATCTGAGCAACGTCTCGTCCAAAACTACCGCTTGTGAAATGCGGTCGAAACTGTAGATTGAGATAACTTATACAGTATAAAAAGCTGGGCTATGCTAATTCAAAAAAATTATGAAATAAAAGTCCTTAAGAAAAGGCCATATTCATATAGGAGGGAGGTTAAAGCATGAACTCTTTGACTCCCAGAAGTGAGTAACATATAACTTCTCCCTGAAAAAAATCCAAACATTATAGGGAAAATGTAATGAGAATACGCAAACTTATCAGGTAAGAGTTGTTATCAAAATTGATCTATCTCCAAATTCTGGTCATTTATTTACAAGGAAACTTGAAGCAGCTAGTGGGGAGAATTATCAGTCAGAACTTGGGAGTTCAAGGGTTAAAAGATTCAAACAAAAATTCAGGACCTTTTACCGCACACACACCAAAGGGTAAATATGTCATTAAAGCTGTTTTTTAAAACGTGCATAATTTGAATGATAGATCTGTTTCCTTCATGGGAGCCGCTTAAAACGATGCTCGTCCACTTCAAATCTAGCACATTGAAACTACAAGTCAGTGACTACTTGAATCCTACGGAAAATTCAATTTTCAGTTCTGTTTCTGACTTTCATTCAGATAAACCCAGTTTAACTAAACATGTTTTGCTGGTGTCAAAAGGGGTATTAGTTTTGTGAAACGTAAACGAGTGTTTGTGCAAATAATGTAGGGAACAAAATTACTTTGATATTTCACTAACTGTTTACAGTTTCTTTTTCGTAGTTTGCTTGTAACATGGTTCAGAGATCTTCTCCTTTTCACTATGGATTTGTCGTTTCTCTTTGGTTCCATTTTTCTTTTCTTTCGACTCCTCCTTAGTCATTGCTTCTTCAATGGAAATTTCGGCTTTCTCACCGGTTTCCTTCTCAAGTTTTCGTAATTTTTTTATAAATATAGCTTCCAAGCTATAAAGAAGTTTCTTTTTCCAGGCAATTGTCTCCTGCTTGATCCTCTCGCGAGTAGTCAAGATTTTCTGGCTCAATTCCGCGACGGTTTGTTTTTTACGCGGTAACGAAGTTTTTTTCGCCTCAGATTCAACGATAGGTAACGGACTTGGAACTTGTAATGTCAGATTTTGGGATGACGATACGTGACAGTGGTCCATATTGCGCTGAGCACTGCCATTATTCATCTTGACCCCGCATAAATTGCTCGAGTCCACATTGCGAAGAAAGGCAACACCGTCCTTCGGGGAAGATTCATATTGAGAATCATGAACTTTGCTCTCCTCTAGGAGACTACTGCAGCTGTTCCTTTTATGGTGTGATGCAGGGGTCCTTTCAATAGGCTCCTTTAGTGATTGAGTGTCTTCATAACCATTGCTTATCTCAAAGGTGAGTTTCTTAAGAAGATCGTTCCAATATTTCTTATTGTTCTCAGAGAATATCTTGGGATCGCTTTTCCGAGGCGTATCATCTCGATTGGCAATAGAATGTACGGCCACAATTTTGGGAAGAAAACTATGGTCTATTGCATAACCACCGCAACTTTCGTTCATGCCGTTAGTTTCCTCTTCAGCGGGTGGAGGTGGTACTGCTTCTGACATAGGACAATCCGTTGGTAACATAGAACTGTCTGGAGATTGACACCTCTTTCCTACATCAATGGAAACTTTGTTTTCTTGGCTATTGGTTGCTTTAGCTTTAAAATCATGGCACTTGACTTGCTCCCGTTTGGTCGTGGGTAATCTAATAGTCGATGGCAGTCTCGTTTCTTCTTTTGTTCCAATTGTATGCAGAGCTTTTGGTCCCTTCTTTCCAAATTCCATCACGTCACTTTGGTCCACAGAGCAGTGAAAGTTTTCTGCGCTTCGATTTTTTTCAGGAGCTTTGGAGCCCCACCTGCCGTTTGCCTTTGCTACCTCTTCGATTTCTTCTTTGCTATGTGAATTGTGGGCTTCATTTGGACTATTTTCAAATTGTAGGTTATCTTGCCTCTGTTTACTATAGAACGGGAAACTCTTTGTTCGATAAAGTTCTTCTGCTGATTTCGTCCTGCGTTTCAGTAAATCATTAAGACTCATAACAAACCTTGAAGAACCATAGCAAGGTGTAGATGGACTTCTTTTTATCCCTGGGCGTGAGACACTGACGTAATAAGTCCGGTCATTTAAGGCAGACGGGGATTTCTGACAGTTGTCTCCGGATGCCTCGTGATAATGCGTCAGTGAGCCTCTCCGCTGTGGACCATATTCGTTGCTGTATTCACGAGAAGATGCGATCTTGGCATTTGTGTTTCCATCCAGAGGTTCCTTGGCGTACATTTCTTGCTTAGTCTGACCCAGAAATGTAAATTTCTTTCTTGTTTGGTGTCCATTTATTAGAAGTCTAGTGTTCGTGTTTGAGTGATTTTCAGACGCAGCTGATCGATATCGGCTGTCGTCTGGCGCGACCGTGTCATTGTTATTCATGTCAGCACAGGATGGTTCATAAAACACTTCATCATACGGATCTTCTCGGTTGCGATTTAACTTAGGTATATCACCCGATGTGATTACTTTCAGACGAGACTGGTTGTTGAAAGTACCGAAAGTCAGACTTCCATCGTAGATGGGACCTTTATCCTTAATACCTCGAGTTCGAGGTCTCCCACGACGTAATTGCGGAACGTTTGATTCGGGCAATCTCGAGTATAAAGCTTCCGACTTGTTGGAGGCATCGTCGAACTTCTGATGGCTGTCTTCTCTTGATATGGGGTAGCATCGACCAATTTTATTCACAGCCTTAGTTATAAACTTTTGATCGCATTCTAAATGGTTGGAAAACTCTGTATTGCATATCACTCGCTCCGTGGGTGAAACAACTGGGCGCTCCTTGAACTCTTGATTTTCTGGATTGCTGCTTTCATAGCAATAACATTTCTTTGTTGCGTTGACTTGGGGTTCTTCCTTTTGATCTGAGGAGGTTGGAATGGTG